AGAGAGACTAGATTGCTCTTTTCAGAATAATAAGCTTATCAGCCTCAACTTTGGTAACTGCTTCAAATTGAGTGAAGAAGCAAGAGACCTCATCAGCATCAAGACATCGAGTTGTTATAAAAACGCGCTCTTACCCGGAGAAAAAGTGCCCCCACACTTCACTTACCGAGCCGCTGGGAGTTCGTTGCCAATGAAATTGAGTGGAATTGATACGCATTTTCCTACATCCTTGAGATTTAAGGCTTGCGTCTTGCTGGTTAGTAAGGGTGACGTCGAGATTGACGAATTGAAATGGTTGGAAGGATCTCATAGCATCAAGGCAAAACAGAATGATGTCAATGTTACGTGTAGCTCAGAAAACATCCAGTGTGAAGAAGCATCAACACGTTTGAAGAAGCATCTGCTCATATTCCAATGTGAAGAAAAGAAACTACCAAGGCTATCCAATTCGTCCAACGAATTAGTCTTTGAGTTCCAAGTCAACATTGAGAAATTCGAGATAGAAGAATGCGGGATACAAATTTTAACACTTTAGGTACGTGTATTTCTTATCAATGTGTATTTCTGAAAGATTATCAATGTATGATATTGGGTTTATGCCAAACTGAATTAACTGATGGATTTTAATCTGCAACTTGTATCAAATACAAGGTTTGTTTACCTCAACTTTGGTAACTGTTTCAAACTGAATCAGGAAGCAAGAGACCTCACATCATCATCAAGACATGGAGTTGTGATAAAGTAATCTTGCCTGGAGAAAAAGTGCCTCCACATTTCACTTACCGAACTGGGAATTCCCTGTCCACGAAACTGAACGGAATTGATACGCATTTTCCTATATTCTTGATATTAAAGGCTTGCGAGGTTACCTTGCGTCTTGCTGGTTAATAAAGGCGACTGTCGAGGTTCGCAACTGGACCAATGTGGAAGTAACTTATCGCATGGCGTTGATGACGTCACTCACCTTTTCTTTAACAGAAGAAGAAATCAAATCCTTCGAGTATATGTCTCACCACGGTTATATACACTCCTTGTCTGTTATTAA